ACTCCAGCTGCGGCCTCACTAAGGCCGAGTACAAGGGGAGAATGACGTCCCAGGATTTGCTTGAGAAGCATCTATGGATGCAAACCAGCGTTTTGGTTGCTTTACTAGCCGCAGCATCACATTGAAGGCTCATGTTCATCTTGTGGTCAATGATGACCTCCAAGTCTCTTTCTTCTGTAGTGCTAGCCAGCGTAGCACTGCCGAGTCTATAAGGATGCTGCAGGATTTTCCTCCCAAGGTGGAGAACCTTGCATTTTTCAGTGTTAAACACCATCAGGTTCTCGTCCACCCATTTCCTGAGCCTGTCCAGGTCAACCTGGATCACCCTCCTGTCTTCAGGTGTGGATGCTTTGCGCCAAAGTTTGGTGTCATCGGCGAACTTGGCCAGTCCGTTTCTGACTCCAGTGTCCACATCATTAATGAAGATGTTAAACAATATGGGTCTAAAGACAGAGCCTTTGGGGACCCCACTGGTCACAGGGCACCATGACAATTGACTTCCGTCAATTATCACCCTCTGGGTCCAACCATGGAGCAATTTCCCAGCCAGCAGATTGTGGTGGGCCCAAGGCCACAATTGGCCAGTTTCGCCAAGAGGTGATCATAGGATACCAAATCGAAGGCTTTTTTGAAGTCAAGATATATGACATCAGTCTCTTCTCCCTTGTCCAGGTGATAGGTCACCTGGTCATAAAAGGAAATGAGATTGGTCAAGCAAGATCTACCCGCTACAAACCCGTGCTGACTATCCCTCAGGATGTTGGCATCGGTCAGTCCATTAAGGATGGCCTCTTTAATAAACTTTTCTAAGATCTTCCCCAGGATAGAGGTCAGGCTGATGGGCCTGTAGTTTGCGAGATCCACTTTCCTCCCTTTCTTGAAGATAGGCACCACATTGGTCTTCTTCCAGTCTTCGGGCACTTCACCAGAGTGCCAGGGTCCGCTTGGGCCAGGTGCTTGTGGGCAGGTGCTGCCTGCACTGCTGCCATGGAAGGAAGCACCAGCCCCCGCCTCTGGCCCCCCCCCGAGAGGCAGGTAAGGGTCAGGCCCGACCCTTGTGTACACATCACGGGAGTTTGCTTTGCCCTAAATTGAAGCGGTGTTTTTAAAGACCCACTGCTTCAATTTAGGGAGAATTAAACTGAAATATACTACCGTGGCGTGTACAAATGCCCTGTGTCCTGGTAACTTAGAGAAGACCTGTACCTCGAATTGGTTTGAGGTAAAAAACTGCTCTTACAACACTATTGCCTCAATGAATTCAACAAGGTTGCATTATGATGAATGAGGGAAGAATATGACCTTACTACTTTTTACTCTGGTGCTTTCTTTAAACATTAACTTTAATGTTAATGTATTTATTCAATGCTATTACACTTTGTTTTGAATGTGGAATAAAACATTAAACACTGACCAGGACAAAGCCTAAATTAATGTTGTCACTCAGGCAATCTTCACATTCATTTCAGTACCAGCAAGGCTGGAATGAAAACTGAGTAAAGGCTTCAGGATCAGGCCTATGAGGAAAGTTATGCTACTTGGTAGGAGACCAGATCCAAAGCCCACCAAAATCAGTGGGTATCTTTTGGACACCTTCAACAGGCATTGCTCCAGGTGTTCCTGGCACTGTAGAGAGAACTGTATAAGGTATTTTACTTGCTGTAGAGCCTGTCCAGGAGTTCAAAGATTGGAAAGACTATTTATTGGGTTGAGAAGGAGCTGGTTTCTAGGCCACCCTTGCCCTCAGCATGTGCAACTGCCACTGAAGTCAAATTGGCATATTTGTCTGAGTAATGGCATAATTTGACCTGTACCTTTTATTTTTAGAGGGCAGTTTTGCTTAGAATGTGACTATTTTAAACTGACAGTTTCCTACTCAACAGAAATTATCCCTGTGTGGTTTCAAGGTCAAACTAGCTGGCAGATAATGCCTGACCTTTATGTGGGTGAGCTTTGTCAGGAGAATACAAAAAGCTTTTCCTGTTCCTTAAACTTTGTGTGTCTAAGCTGCCTTGCTACCTGCTCTGA